TTTCAGTGTTTATGTGTCTGGAGTTGGGTAGGGCGGGTTGTTTGGCCGTTAGCTCAGTCTTGACATCAATGTGTGTCTTTGGGCTTTTTTGTTTGATATTATTTCTTTCTTGCTCCAACTTGGAGTCAACTGTCCTAATACTACTTAGCCACCCCTACACCTTCAACAACTACAGCTAGTAGACACTGGCCACTACCCAGTTCATTAATATTGATTAACAAAGAGAAATAGAAATAATAAACAATGCAATGTCTCAGAGTCAACAATTTCTGCTCCTACAAAGCAAGATAGAATGATGCCAATGAGTGACTTCGGCAGCGCTAAAGGATGGTCCCCTTTGAGGAAGAAAAGGCATTGAACTATTGAGAAAGGAAATCAGAAAAACAATTCTCCAGTGTTTTCAATAGGTGGAGAAGAAAATTACGAGTTACACAAACACACAGAGAAAGCTATAAAAACTCAGGAAAACCTACAGGATTCATATGAAAAATGAGAAATCATTTTTAAAACTCCAAAAAGATGTCCAGAAGAAGAAGATTAATACTAGGATTTAAGAATTAGACAACATTTTGAAAGAGTCAACAGTAGAATGGAAGCAGTGGAATGTCGGATTAGTGACCTGGAAGGCAAATCTCTTGAGAGGACGCTGTGAGAGGTACAACCAATAAAAAGAACAGAAAAATCCAAAGAAAGCCTAAGAATTCTTGGAACACTAGCAAAAAGAATAACTTAATCTGCACTCATGTTCCAGAACACGGAGAAATAAACTGTCCACAGAGAAAAGAGTTCAGGAACAATTGGAAGGAAACTTCCCTAACAGTATCAGACAGGAGAAAATAATGATGCCGAACCCCGAATAGAATAGATGCTATAAGAAAATCATGACAAGGTATCATAGGGAAAATTCCCAATATAGAAAGCAAGAAAAGAATCTTGAGAGCAGCTCAGGAGAAAAGAAAAGTTTCCTACAAAGGGGAACTGATCAGAATAAACACAGATTTTCAGAAGAAGTCATTCAGGGGCCAACAGGCATACGAAGAAATGCTAGTGGTCTTTAGCCATTTAAGAGATGCATCTCAAAAGTGCAGTGAACTATTACCATGACTAGCACTAACAACAAAGTTAAAAAAATGCTGGTGAAGATTTGGTGAGGCTGGAACCCTCAAACAGTGCTGGTGGGCTGTGAAAACAATGCGGTGACTGTGGAAAGTGGCATGAAGTTTGCTGAAATGTAAAAGAAATATGATGGTTACCGTGGGTGAAGGAAGAAGGGTTGTTGCTTAGGGGTGGGTGTGGTAGTTACATAACCTGCTGTCAATTTAAGACTTAAGAATGAAGGGGTGAAGTTTAGCCTGTCAATCAGATTGCTACAGAAATAAATAGCTCGCTGGAGGCAGGTCACACACTCACTCCCTGCAAGACATTCCTGTTGAGAAGACACATGCAGCTACGCTAGAGCTCTGGAGCTGAAGTTGCCACATGGAGACCCCTGCCAGCGCTAAGATGCTTCCACCGCCACTGGATCCACAAGACTTTCCACCTACTGGCCTGTGACCTTTCTTCCTGCATTCAGCATCATTGCATGTGTTGTGTGAGTCTGAAGGGGAATTTATAAATTGGCATTGGACATATGGGCTAATACAGGACTTAGGAATTTGGTCTGGACTGAGCTCAGATGTTTTATCAATATTCAATTGCTCTTGTAATATAAAGCTCTTTCTTATACACATATGAGTGTCTATGAATTTGTTTCTCTAGTCAACCCAGACTAACACAGGGTACATTGAGTTTATGCTAATGGTGGTGGAATAGTTTGGAAAAGGATCTTAATAATGATTATACAACACAAAGAGTCTAATCAATGGCACTGGATAATACATGTACAAGTTGTGGAATCAGAGAATGTTTTGTTGTGTATATTTTAGCCATAATTAGAAAAAAATATAGATGAAAAGCAATGAGTTCAAGGGAAAAATGCTCTAAAATTGACTGTGGCCATTTCTTCTTGATATGACTGAATTATTGAAAGGTATGACATGTGGATGAAGTGCTAATAAAACTGTTAAAAATACAATATGACTCAGAATCCTTCCACTCGGTACATATCCTAGGGGAACAAGAGCCGCTGCATGAATAGATATGCACCCCCAGGTTCATTTCAACACTTTTCACAATAGCAGAAAGAGAGACGCAATCGAGGAAGAATGGGTAAATTACCTTTGACACACATAAAAGGAAATGCTACGTAAAATTAAGGGAAAATGACGAATCTGTGAAACACCACACAACATGGATGAACCTGAAAGACATGATGCTGAGTGAAATTAATCACAAAAGAGACAAACACTGTATGAGACCACGATTATATAAAGTCAAGAAAAGGTTTTCACATTAAAAGAAACATTCGTTGATGGTTACCAGGCGAAGAAGAGCACAGCATGGGTGGGAAAGGAAATCATGGGCTAGAGAGGGGACAAGTGTCAACCTGGATGAATGGGAAGATAATAAACAATAAGAGAGAGCTAGAGGAAATGATGGAGGCAAAGGAAGACACTGAGACATTTGCAAGACTTAAAGGAAACAGAGGTAAATACAGGTATATGAGGGAGTACCCCCCACCAAAAAAACCCCCGGAATTTCCCCCCCAAAGCTATGCATTTAATTTTTTTACAAAAAACTTTATCACCTTTAAAGTACTCCCCATCACATTTAATACATTGGTCAAAATCTGCAATTCCGTTCTTGGAAACAGTTGTCAAAGTTTGGATGGATTTGACAGCACCTCCCTTGTTTTTTTCTTCACCTCTTCTACTTTGTCAAATCTCTGTCCTTTCATGTCCCTCTTCATTTGTGGAAACAAAAAGAAGAGTGAGGTCAGGTGAGTAAGGTGCGTGGGGGCATGAGAGGCATGCTGGTTTTTGCCAAAAAATGGCGCACTGAGATGGCTGCGTGAGCAGATGCACTGTTGTGGCAAAACCAGTCCCCCATTGACCACACTGTTATGCTATCTTTTCAAAACCTCTAAATAGGAAGCTTGATTAACAGTCGGACCTGGTGGAATGAACTCCAAATGCACTACGAGTCAACATTTTTATCCATTCAGTAAGTTGACAAATGTCCAGAACAAGGTTTGTCATCAGTCAACATTTCACCTTTTTTGAAACGAGAAAACCACTCATACACTTGAGTTTTTCCCATAGCACTGTTTGTGTAAGCTGTGTTCAACATTACAACCGTTTCTGTGGCATTTTTCATTTTTCCTGGGCAGGAAACAAAATTTCATGCTGCACACTGTTCTCTTAAGTCAGCCATCACAAAAAACGAGGTTTGAGCAAAACTGCTTTTACAAAAAAATCTACTATAACAAGAGAGAAGCTTCCCAGGTGGTGCCACTGGGTGCACTAAATCAGAGTGAGTTGCTCAATGCTTGTCTAGCAGGACAAAAATGCATACTTCAATTTTTGGTGGGTACCCCCTCATATACACACTCCTGAAACAGTGATGGTCTGTGAGTAGATGCTTCAGCACACATGCAAGCTGAGCAGGTGCTGGCAGGAGAGTAGGGGTGTCCCCTTCTGTGTATGTGTATCTATATGTGTGTATGTGTGTGTATAGATATAAATATACAGAAGGTATTTGTTTATGTATATTTATCTTTGCTGAAAATATACCCATGAATATGTTAAAGCATGCAGGGAGTCAATTTTGAAAATTTCATAGACATAACCAAAAATATTGAGGGGAGAGGTCACTGTGCCTGGGGGCTCAGATCTATAGCCTCAGGGAACATCAGGGTAGCTGGCTAAATACGGTTCATCATACATGCGGTATAACACAATTATACCAGTTTTACCAGAAAGACAATATTCTACATGCTCATTTAGTGAGTAGTGACTGGGGTTTTAAGAGCTAAGAGCAGTTACCTAAGTTGCAACTATTGGTTTCTCCCTGCCTGGAGAAAAAACGGGTGATGGAAATCAAAGGACACATGAAAACAAGCCAGTGGACATCCGTCTCCACCACCATGATGAGAGAACAACTAGGCGGTTCTCCCTGGACCACCACCTGCTCTGAAAAGGATCCCACGCGCAGGTCCGGAATCGGAAGGAAAATGTGGAACAGAACCCAACATCATAAAAAAGGCCAGGTTTACGGGTTAAGTAGAAACTGGTGGTATCCTCAAAACTCACCCTTCAGGTTGGAACTGAACTCATCTTTGTAGGAGAATAATCAACTGACTTAAGATAGAATGGACAGCATTTACCCAAGGAGAAAGTTCAGAGTCAAGGAGGAGAAATGGGAACGGGCGTCAAAGGGAGGAGGTGGGGTAAGTGGTGATGAAGTGAGAGGAGCGCAATGGTTGGGTTGAAATAAAATACGTATAAATTACTGATGATGGGCTCTGTAAACCTTCACCTGAATCACAATAAAAAAACATTAGCCTATTAGCATCTCTTAGAATTTAAAAATGTATCATTTATCTCTAGATAGCTTTAGTAGCTCCTGTTGTTGTTAGGTGCCGTTGTGCTGGTTACAACCCATTGTGACCTTGTGCACAATACAACAAAATACTGCACGGTCCTGGTCTACCCTTACAATTGTGCCTGCCTGAGCCCATTGCTGCCGTCACAGTGTCCATCCATCTCGTAGGTGCACTTGAAAATGGCTGGGAATCAAACCTGGATCAACAGCATGGAAGGTGAGAATTTCACCAGTGAACTGCTAACACACACACACACACACACACACACACACACACACACACACACACACACA